GAGGACCACTTCCAGGCATACTAGGAGGACCACCTCCGAAATGAGACTGATTGCTCATAGCTGCAAACGATAAGTAAAAAAATCGTGAAGATTTGTCAGTAAAAGTTATAATACACACCTGGACCTGGAGCAGCAAACCCAGCGTTCTGTGGTGGAACTCCTCCTGCACCAGGAAAACCTGTAGGGCCGTGGCTACTTGTGGAAGAAGGAATATTCGGAGGAAAAGCTCCACTAGGAGTTTGCTGAGGACCTGCTGCTTGCTGCTGAGGAGCTTGGGGTGACTGAAACGCGTTCGGTTGTGGGTAACCAGGAGATGAGTGACTCTGCTGTGCTCCTATGCCATAAGATGGTTGTGAAGCTTGATTTGAACTTGGGAACGACTGCATCGGTTGTGGCGGGAAAGGCGCAGGGCGAGACTGGACTGACGTTTGTGGTACGGGCCCGTTTGATTGAGAAGTTGTTGAAGCAGCTTGTTGTTGGCCTTGAAAGTTAGCAGTCGAGTGTTGGGCAAAGCCATTGGCTGGAGCTTGATGATTATATTGAGGTTGAGAGTGTGCTCCCGCTCCAGGAATACCATTCATAGTTGGATGTCCACCAGGTTGTTGAGACAGAGGTGCAGGAGGGCCTGGAGGAAACGGTTTCGCTTGAGGGTAAGACTGTTGTGCATGATTCACCAAGTTTCCTGGCTGCTGAGTGTTATTGTATCCTTGCGACTGATCGTATGTTGACTTCGGATAGCCACCAAACTGTGCTGAAACAGGATTTGGTTCATGTAGTAACAACATGTGCCAATAATACCGATGAAAACAAATATGTTCAAGAACTACCACTTTGCGCGTTAACATTTTGTGGGGGAAACGGAGCGCCTGGCTGTCCTTGAGGTGGCCCTCCACTTGCTGGAGGGAACGGAGGTGCAAACATCACCCTCCTAAACACGAAGAATGAAGAAACAAACAAATGGAATCCAACAAGTGACGTGGCGACCACGAACGGGAAAGCACTCTACATCACAACCACACGATACGTTGCAAACAAAAACACTGAAGTAAATGCGCGAATACAAATAGAATTTTTATTCCTGACGAGGTTCCCCGACGATATGTTCCACACTGTCTCTGGCAAACACCCAAGTTCCATGTCACTGGTGCAAAATGCCGTCATTCTAAGTGAAATGCAAGGTGTTCTGCGCGGGACCTCAGCTACAGCGTAATCAAGTTCTGCGGCAAGTCGCGCTTGTTGGCTCGTTATCTGACGCTCTGTGGTAAGTATTAGCCTATCTTTGATCTAGTTGGATTTCACCTTGAAATTCGTCATCGTGCTCATGTCCAAAAATCTATGTACAACAGCAGAGAATGATGGGTACTGCTCAACTATTACTACCCCACAAACCCGAAAAATTCTGCTGAAACAGCTCAACAACGAGTCATTTGATACCCTTGTCACAAATGCGACATTCGTTTTT